AGCTGTAGTTTAAACAAAGTGCCTATTTCTGCCGTTCAGTGAATATTCTTTATGTGCCAAGTACATTGAAGCTATGTGACTTACAAAATCACATTAAACTATATCAGAACACAACATGATTGAGAATAAGTCAATCAATCTGTGATATAGATTGTCTTCCTACACTCACCACTCAGACTCATGTTTCCAATATTATGCTGGATTAGCTATTCTACTAAGACAACCTATAACATGCTAACTTGAACTTTTACACTAGGATTGTGTGGCTGGCATCGGATAAACAAAAAAAGATAGATAACAAAAGATGTAGTCATTAGTATTCTTAACACTTCACCCTCTATATACACACCCTTCTAATAAACCGCTTCCCTTGTACCAACCTTGACTTTCCTTCCTTCATGTGAGCTTACTCCAACTTGTTAAACATCACAACTCATTCTTCTTTATTAGTACATTCTCTAATATGGAGCCTCTGACTTCACTTCACTCTAACAAGACATAATATGAATTTATTCTAATTTATTATACCTCAGTCCGTTCTACTACTCAATGTTAAGCAACTTTTGGCGTTCATATCCAAGTGCCTTGCTGCTCTTCTGTTTCTCCTTTTTTCTTCTTCAGAATCTCGCTCTGAGAGCACAGCTATGAAACTTCTGACGTTTGGAACAAACTTGACGTACGCGTCCTCTCAAGGTCATAGTTTACAGCAAGCGCTCTACGATTTCACTTTATAACGATTGTAAACTTAATAAGTTGGGAAGCATTTTGCGAACCAAAGAATGTTGTAATTTATAGATCATGCCTGTAAAAACAGTGTGTACCTGCACATGCAAAAATATATTATTATTATTATTACGTACTTGTCGTAGTTTAGCTCCTGGAGGATGCAGTTTATTTCTGATAATTTCAGAATTATCAAATCGACTTTTCATGTTCTACCGAAAAATTATGAAGTCCCTTATCTTGATTTTTTAAATACTGTTCTAACATGTTTGTTCATAACACATAACGGAAGACTTCCGATTCGCGTTTCTTTCACGCTCGTACATGGAGTTGTTGGTTGATTTTACATCCTACATTTTTTAGTTTCTATGCGACAAAAGATGTCACTAGCATTCATGGCTTGACGGCACCTTCACACATGAAATCTCTTTAATTGACGTATACCAACGTAATGAAATCAGATGTCGGAAATGAAGGGATTCGAAGATATTTTTGAAAGACCATCCATATGTCGAGAAGCGTTTGATCTGAGCTGGTTATCAGTTGCATGGAGTGCGTATGTTAGTTCCTGTATGATTAAGATGCGACTAATTGAGTGGGCTTAAAGAGCTGTTAAGAACAATATGTTGAAGATGCCACAGAAATTCAGGGTTCGATAATGTTTTAGTTCATGAAATATTTCCACTTCAAAAATACCGACTCGGGTAAACCAGAAATCAGGATGATTGAATTTAAAGATGCATTTGGAAACTACCAATGTGTTGAGGAATGTTTTGTTTAATCTACCTAGCTGTCGCAAGAGATATGTAGCACGGCGAACCCACTCATGATGTGGTGCCTATTTATGTCCAAGAGCCTTCATTTAGTGTATGTTCAGTATAATTAGCAGGGTCAGAATCAATGTTGCAGATCTGCAGAATTATCACCTCGCCTTCGTGAGGTAGTACTGGTCCCACGACTGATCAACCAGACGTTTGAACTCAAAGAAGCTTGCTGCTGGCAGATACTTCTTACAAATTGCTGTGTCTAGGCGTATTTGGTTTGATAACTCTATTGTAGGAAGTTGTTTGGTAGAACAAAGTAGTAGAAGTAAGTACACTGGAAATCATGGTCCATCGTACATCCTGTCGATCCTTCACATTTAGAAGTGTAGGTCAATGTACGTATACACTGGTACCTGTTTAAGGAAGCAAAAGGTGTCTAAAGAAAATAAACGGTATATATGCGTATAAATACTGCGAAAAAGTGAGAAAGTTTAGGTATTGAAAATAATATGAACATACATGTGTATAAGGGAGTGAAACTTTTAACTATTTATGAAATCTTATCTTCAGTTCGTTAGCTTGTGGGTTGTAGGCGGTCGCTCGGAATTATATGATTTCTAGGCTCGTGGTAAGGCAACGAAAAAGTTTAGAATCGATCTAGCCTCTATGAGTCATAGCAACAGGTAAAGAGCAGTCAAATTTTGACACTCATCTTTCAGCGAAGTCACGGGCCTCTGTTACTGCAGCAATAACAACAATAATAATTTATTCTCCAATAACGGTTTTTTACATGAGGCATACCAGTTTACAGGCAAGGTCAATGTCCTTGATGTGTACTGCTTCTGGAGATCTTGTTAAGCGATCCCTACGTGTTAAGAGGTAAGAGTTCTAATTTGAATTTCGTAGTAGTGCTGCCAGACCCAGGTGAACATGTTCAAAACGAGCGCCAGGATTTGCGGACGAGCCTAAGGGACATACTTTGCGTTTAAGTACCTTAGGTGTCAGACATCTTTTACTAGAATGTACACATTCCCTCACATCTTTCTTTACAACAGGCCAACCAAATCTTCCTGTTATGAGCTTGATGACTGCGAAAATACCTGGATGAGATGATTTATTCAACCTGTCAAAGACTTCGCGCTGTTACTATTACGGCGCAATTCGACGATTCCCGCTAACATCTATTCGATTCATGGTTTCAGGATTGTCGAAGATAAATCGTACTGAAGACCAGCGTCTTTTTAAGCTGGGTGATATTAAAAAGGTCTATTCTTTGGTAATTGTTCAGAGAAATCATACGAGACAGGGTTGTTGTGACTTTATGTCCGGCTTTTTGTTACGTGATTTATCCACCAATCAAAGTACGACTTGTACAATCTTCGCACTGTGTCAAACCAATGACGTTCGACCGGTATGGGCATCCTAGCGTCCTTATTGGTCCTATGTCCGCCAAGCCCGTCCACTTGAGTCCAAAACACCAATCCCAGCTTCCACTATGAGAATCGAATCGAATCATTCCAGACATACTGGGTTTATATATCAAACAAACATACCGCAACGCACCATAAAATAGGAAATAACATTTGTACACAATAAAGTCGAAAAGTGATCATGAACGTGAGAGGCAGTAGTCAGTAAACTGAACATGGCTTAAGAACAGTAACTCGTACAACAATAAATTATAGGTCAAAGTGAAGCTCATGATAAGAGGAGTATAAATATACATAATCTAATTATTGAATAGTTATACCATAAGAATATATAAATAATAGTAGTCAATTAATATGTCTTAAAAGTTACTGGTGATTTAATCTTCGCTTGGCTATAACAAGGGTTGTGCAACTAAATTGTTTACTCCAGAAACACACTACATATTTGAGGTAAACAGAGAGGTGAAGTCCAGTTGTCGAAACTGCGGAGGATTAATTGTTTAAAGATGGGCTAGGAAAAATATAAGAGGTTGGTAAACAGAATGATGTCTCGTTATTCTGCATGGTGCTGAAAGTGTCGCGCAGCACGTTACACAACTGGGAGTTCGTTGCCGAGGGTGTTATTCCTCGATTCAGCGTCTTGCAACCGTCCCATGAAGAATGACAAAGGTTGATGGGTGTTGTGTACTCATTGCTTTAAGATTCTTCCGATTATCAAGTCGTGTACGTCTACGGCAATAGCAATGGATGCTTTGATATCCAAGTATGAGAGTACGGTTACTTTTGCGACAATTCCTCTAAATATGGAAAACGATTTTCACGCACTAACCAATGCTTTTTGCAATTTCGTGAAGTTGGTCTGTTGTGCCTCATACGGGACGCTCAACTCAATCCGAATCGGATTAGAAAACTTATCCGTTAAACGTTCTTTATTAATTGACTATGGTTGCTTCTGGGAAATACAGAATTGTCGTCTTTTGCTTCACTAACGGCGAATGCCTTGAGTGTTAATAACGTGCACAAGAAAGTCCAGGATGTTAGTTTTGATCCGACGTTTCTAAGTACTTACAGTAGTGCCACGTTACTGAACCATTCGGAAACAAGACTCAGATGCATGAGATTCTCAAGCACTCTCAAAAAGTCTTAAATATATGTGTGCATGAGGTTGAGACTTCTGAGTGTCACAGATGAATCTCTTAAACGTTTGTTCAGCATTTCTTGAACCGTAACTTATGCATGAAAATTTGTGGAGTCCGAAGGTAGTCATGATAGCCGTTCCGAAAATCTCGTCTGCATTCATAGGGATTCGGTTATATGCTTTAATGAGATTGATTTTCGGAAAAATAGTTTTGTCTTTTAAGTTTTCCGGCATACGAGTCTTTTTGATTAAAATATTCTCAAGACACTTAAAGAAGAAGTTGGTAGATGTTCAGTAGAGAAGATAGGTTTAGCTGGTATGCAAGTGTATCATAATATGTCACTTTTTAGGCTTTTTAGTCACAGTAGAATTTGAGTTCCATGATACGGTGGTAATTGTAATGGTGAGAATGATTTTCCGAATACATTCATCTAGAAGTATGTTCATTAAAAATAACACGGACAAAACTATTTTCGAATGCTAATGGAACCATTTACTTTTCGGAACCATCTATAGTTATATCGCTATTTCTTGATCGCCACACGATTTCATAATATAAACGTCATCGGTCGAGTACAGACTCGAGATCACTAAAGACCAAAGGCATATGTGAACGTATTTAAGCTTATAATATAAGCGCACAATTTTTCATGAATTTAAAATTTTACGCAAACGCTGTGGTTGAATTACAGAGTACCCAGTGAAAGTGAGTAATTTGGAGCACCTGTTTTTTTAAGATGTATCATTTGAAACTGGGGTTAATTTTCTGAATGATGATTACTCCTATGGTTGATGTAAATACACAAAAACATTAAATTTATTTACTTTTATTAGGTTGAAAAAGGGAAGAACTCAGTACTTACAAGTTTTTGATTTGATATGACGGATCCATTCAATGGTGAACTTCTTTGTTTACTTCATTTACCGTGTATATCTACTACCGTCAATTCAAAAGACTTACTGAATGTTGTTAATTACACAAGTTGTTTGCAAACAATCATCGAAAACCTTATTGGGATAAAGGTAACTCATTTGCTTTTCCCTATCGCGAACATATTTCATTCTGTGCTAACTGTTTAAGACTTTATTTCTTTGGAAAATATCGCTTGAGCACAAAATAAATATTTGTTTTAGAGTCTTTATGACTTAATCAAAATACTTTATCACTGTTCTGTATGTCAAATGATAATATTTTGTTTTCATCTTTGTAAATCCAGATGTGAAACACATCGTTGTTAGATTTTATGAACTGCAAAACGTAAAGCGAGGAATGCTGTTTATTTATTGCACTATGTTCACCTGTTGCAACATCGTGTCTATTTGCATGCGTAACTTAACGTTTTAGTTGAAAATGTGCATATATATGCTACCTTATCATCATACATTGCATTAGGTGTGTTGCAAGTGTATAGTTCTCACTGAAATATATGCAGATAAACATAAAACCGTGGTTAGATTATTAGGTGATTTACTCAGGAAATAAATGTGTTGCGCATAAACTGGTGATGGTAAAACCAGCTGTAACTTTTCATAGGGGTTGTTAACACTGAATATACTCTATCATGTGTATAATTGAAGTCATCAAGATATTATTCAGTAACCCATCAAAATCAAATTCAGCGCAAATAACTAGATCCATTTATTTTGAGTTAATGTTATTAAGGAATGTTCAGAAATGGATTTCAAGTAAATTTAGAACGAAGCCACTTAAGTGGATCTAAGTATAAAACCTATATGTCAAATAAAATGAGGCTTATTAGAACTCACAGCATTTTTATTCAAGTTACTCGAGCCAATTAGGCGAAATAAATAGGACTCATATCCCTTAACTTTAACAAAAATAAATCTGTTTGATAAACGATAACACATTAAATTGTATTTGTGCAACACATTCAGACCGTGAATTCCAAGAATATTTAAATGCGCTTTCTTTGGTTGATGGCAATTATTAGAGGTCATTTCTGTTCCTTATTCGTAAATCGACATGGATACTTTAGACTGACGCTAAATTCTGTGATATATCAGAGATAAATATTCATTCCAGATTTTGACATAATCCTATTTGTATTAGTTGGCGTTTGAACTGCATACTGGGAACTAAAAATGCTATCATGTCTAATACAATATCATTAAATAAACACATAACAGCTTTAGCTTTTATATATATATATGGGTGAAGCAATCACCAGTTTTAGCCATGATGAGAAATTTGTAAATGATTGGGTGGGAGGTAGAAGATATATCTGAAACTCATTTCTAAGGTGCGGTTTCGTATAAGTATGAGTTTTGAATTTTTTTAAAGCATTCTTACTTCTAAGAATATATAAGTGTAACTTCGAGATGTGGTTTGAAGGAAGTATTAACTCATGTCGTTCTTTGTTATCTATGAAACATAATACATAACAGTTCTAGACTAAAAGTGTAAAAATTTAATTTTCAAACGCAAACTCGCTTTTGCTACATCTTTTAGCCGAACGAGATCATTTTATCGTTAGAGGATGCCAACTGGTAGTAATCACTTTTGAGATAAAATATGCATTTTTAAAAGTCACAAACGATTATTCCTTTGTTTGAACTTCTAATTTTTTAAGTGTCAAAATACTCTTCGAATTTATAACGTTAAAGTATACACAAAGAATAAATCAGCACAAGGTTTCTGACCTCAGTACTAAAGTAACAATATATTTTTTCAATGTCATACACAAACTATCGAGTTATACTCACCAAGGAATCTTTAGTATCCATTGGTTGACAGTTATATCATCTCTGTTAGAACTCAGCTTTTGAGTTCGAATCCGGGCTAATTGTACAGCAAAACCACTAATTCATAAATAACGTCAACGTTAAATATATTTTATCTATGCTTTACATGGGTGTTTTTTTCCAGTCAAGTTTATAATCATAACACAAAGTCGTGATGGAAGATTAATAACAATGATTTTCCCTTTCCATTCAGTGAACTTTATTTTTGCATTAAATATACATTTTTCTATAGTATGAATTATTTTTAGTCATTTGTTGTTTTTTTCCTCGAGGCTTTCAAGTGAAACCTTGTTTTAACACATCATTTGTGATTGTGTAAAAATATGCTTATGAAGCAAACACGAATGCTTCAGTTTATGAATGAGGGCCACAAATATACCTGACTAAAAATATAAAACTGAAAAAGGAGCTGTTTTGAAACGACTGTTCATAGGAAAACCACATGTAACTGTAGTTACTTGTGTATAGCTTTGTTAAATTTTTGTAACTCTCAGTCCATTTAAAATGCGTTTATCAAAATGTTTTGAATTCTCACTTAACTTCTGAGTAACTACTGCGGGTAATTATGCACAAATAATCATCACCAGCTCCGTCAGTAAGTTTGTCACACCCCTAAATTACTTATCTTTATTATCATTAGAACAAACGGTGATCTATGTATCTGCACACGGAAGATCTATGTCAATAAATGGGATTAAGCAATAAATTTATCAGACCGTATTTTGCCTGTTACGTAAGCGGTTTGGTAAATATGTTGAATTAATAATGTTACTGATGGAAACAATGAACTCTCAAAGAACTTATGAAATTCTGTGGGTGTAATGTATGATGAAAAATACTTTCCAAGTGGAACAGGGGTTTCAGAGAGAGTCGCAGAAACTGTAAGTTAGATCAAGGTTTAAACGACTACTGACCTCCTCTATTAATATTAAGATCGAATGTGGACATAAATTTGTAATTTCTGATCGTTGATTCACCACCCGGACAATTTCTACAAAGCTTAACTTGGAGAATATCCTTGTTAGCATGATTTCAGAAAATTTGTCAAATATGAAGAAACTGTAAAGCCGTCAATTTGAGTACCGTCGAGGATGTGTCAAACGGTGGATGTAGAAAGAATGCATTTCAATCTATAAAGCACTTTGAAAGAAGTAATATTAGTGCGTTCGACATCTTGTAAAATAAAATTTTCACCACCTCAGTTCACACATTTACTTTACAAACTAAATGTGGGTTATATAAATAGTCAAATGTACATCAGTACGTTTAGCCTAACTGACATTTTGGATTATTTGTTTTCAATGAACCAAAACAATTGGAAAAGGCTTTTGAACTTATAAGTAAAGTATAAGCTTTGATTTTAAGTGAGTGCTGGTTATGTGATTCTAGAGAACGTAAACTTGAGTTGTTTGGATGATTACTGCTATATCGTAAATAATATGGCAATGTGAATTAGTATAGTGCTGACCAATTATACTAAACTGTGTTGTGGTTAAAATACTATTTTTCGGCCAGCCATATGAAATCCAATGTGCGCCTTATACAATTTTAAGGTTATTGGTCATTCATTATTTTAAGTCTCAAAGATTACTTTAAACAAATATCTAACGGTATCGGAATTCATATCGCAATATACATCAAGAATTTTCAACATAACTGTTTGACTTATCTTACTAAAGGATCTATAAATATTTAAACGACTTTTAAAAATGCACTGCTTGTTCATTACCTTTAGATGAATTTTAAAAAAGTGTAAATATGGTATGTTAAATCTTGGTAGCAATATGATACTATTATCTATCAATATATAAACAAATAGTATTTTTAGGCGAAAATATTGTTTGTTGAACTGATGTGAAATTGTCATCTAAATATTGTAATGTAGTAAAAAATATGGAAAGACCAGTCCTATGATAACTAAAGCGGTTGACTTACAATTAATAAATTTTATGTTCAACTCCCACACTCACCTAGTTTAGTTTTGTGGAGTTGGGCAGTATTTGGAATTTTCATAATTAGACATTGGCATAAAGTTAATTATACAATGCAGTACTGGTAGATGAGATACATCAAGTGGAATTAAATTGATATCTTTTATATATATTTTATATGCGTAACAAAATTATTCAGATGAAAACTAATTAAATTCACAAGTAATTCTATCAAATATTCAAGTCACATACATATTTTCTAATTGTATATTTATTTCCCAGGTTGTAATTCATTTTTAGTTTGTAAATGCACGCGTCATTAGCTTCGATCGGCAGGGCTTGTACAATCCAAGAAGATGAAGATCCGCCGGCTACATCTTTGGAGAGTTCATTCGACGTGCAACAAGTTGATTACATTGAACAAAGCTTAAGATCATGTACGTCTTCAGTGGATGAGTTAGTCACACTCGCATTATCATTATGCCATTCGATTAAAATACTACCAAATTTCAATAAGATCGTTTTACAAGAACATCCTTGTGGAATCAAACAGAGTGATTCGGTAAGACCATTTATTCGTATTTATGCTTACTCAATACATTTTATTATTAATTATGTAAGAAATAATGCGTGTTCCAGTTACAGTGGATGAAAGTTTCCCGTACATCTGATCAACGTTGACTTTTTATCAGAAATTACGTTCGCTTAAGTCAAAAACTCAAAACCTAAGATATTTTACACTATAAACCCTAAGTTTATCATAAATTTTTAATGCTTATGTCATTTCGTGCACAACTACTGAAAATCATTAACTCAAGGTGTTCAGTTCAGACACTGAATGGTATCAGATGGGAAATCACGAAAAATCATGAAACACAAGAAAACCATTTTTTTCTACTGTGAAGCTTTTTGACAGCTTGTACGTACGACCTTGAGAGTGATCAATCCAAAGACATTTGAATTCCAAAACGACCGAAAACCAACCAGTCAGTCATAATGAACGTAGAGGTTCGGAAGAACAAAGACACCTTCAGATTACTAGGTCGAGACCCAATAGTAAATACTTCAAAATCCTGTTAAATCACAATAATACGTGACGGTCATTCACCTCTTAGTTTTTGCGAAAATTACTGTGACTCAGTTTAATCTATTCACACAGAAAAACATTTGGTTATGGAAACACATTTTGTGTCTAAATGTTTTAACTATAGAAAATGGAAATTTCGGAACAAAATTGATTTTAAAATCGCTAACAAAGTTTAAAATTGACAAGCCGAAATATTTCAAATGAGGAGGAAAACTTCCAACTATAACAATTTCGGTATTTAGAAATCAATATTTTAAACTCGAGTTTGTGAAGATTTTTAACTATGGAATCCGGGTCAGTCAGTCAGTCAGTAACAACGTAGAACTTCGTACGTACGTACATCAGTTTGAGTTGCCACACCACATTAGCACAGAGATGCAGTTGTCGATTCAAATCCCATAGTGGTAGAGGTAATAAGAGTATAAGCAGTAATCGGGAAGATTAGGGTTTGGAGATGCTATTTAAAGAGTATAATCCGGGTAGTTTTAATCAGTCGTTTACAAGCGTCTTTGGTGATTTTTACTTAAGAGTGCAACACTCCATTTTATTATAGACTGCCACAAGTAAAATTATTGATAAACAGGAATTCACAACTTCAGAAAATAACATCGTTAAGAGGAAACGTTTCTTCACTGAAACATCCTTATCTTGTTTCGAGATTGTTTTGTTTCTTCACGCATAACAAGCATATAGCTTAGATAAAAACTTCAAATTTCTTAATTTAACAAGAGATATATTATTTTTCAAACATTTCAAATTATGCTCCTAAGAAATGAATAAACATGTTGTACGGCCTAAATATATGTGAAGTTCTGATTAATGAAACTGCCTGTAATCTAACACATCTAACATATTTGTATAAACATAGTCGTCGGTGATTTTTGGCCCTGTCAATTGTGAATACATGAGAATTCATTTACGTAGAGCTAAATACAAACAGTCAATAACATCTCGCTTGACTTACAAGTTGTAAGTGTGAAGCTAACTAAAAAACCTTTGAGCATAGAAACTCATTGAAGTTGTTCACCACTGCGTTTTCACTTTCTAGTATATTTATTAAGATATCTCAGTTAAAATATAGATTGACAAGAACTTAGTGCGCTTATACATTTTGTGCTTATAACTCCATATCGTATCAATGATAGATTTTGCACTTAATTCGGTTTTGTGTTTTAACTTCTATTACAGGTACTTAATACAGATAAATATGACAACAATAAAAACCAACCATCATCAGCATTGGATGAACATATCAACTCATCAACAATTAACGACCCTATTATATGTGTACATACTTCTTCCAATACTTCCAGAAATAAATCAGATGATTTAAACCACTTAACTTATTTGCATCGTTTCTATTTAAAACTATTGAACGTTGTACATCTCGATACATTGAACAATACTATAAAAGAGTTAAGTTTAGGTTTGCTTGCATTACTGGCTCATTCAGAAACTGTTCTCATTAAAGAAACCAATTTATTAGACTGTATTTTATCAAAATTTTCTATATCAAGCAATAATATTTATTCTTTTCAAGCTCTTTATGAGAAAAATTCTTGTAATATATTAAATGATTATCATGAGTTTTTATTAACTACATTATTACATTTTAATGATGAGAGTGGAGATGATGATATTGATGATAATAGTAATGGCACACCTATTACCGGTTATACAACAACACATTATGATTATTCCTCACAATTAGGTGAACTTAGAATTTTATGCGAAAGTTTAAGACAATGTTGGACACAGATGAAACGTTTAGCTAATGAACAACGAAATATGCAATATCGTTTAAATCAAATTAATGCTTCAAATAACTGTGATACAATTTTAACAAAACTCTTTTTAGATGCATATAGAATTAATTCCATGTACAGTAAATTATTAACATTAGCTATTATTAATTCTGCTCAATATTTAATCTATTCTGGTGTATCATTATTAGGTTATATGGAATTATCACGTTTTACACATGATGAACTATGGGAAATGACACGTGGTATTGAAGAGTTAAATATTTTACGAGGGCATTTACATAATACATTTCAAATATATCGTAACACACATTTGTATAAATTAATATGTAACGACGAAAATGTATTTCATTCTGCTCAAATTTTATCACCAACTACCGATACTACTAGTATTAGTAGTACTTTTAAACCATTATCACAACTTATTTCATATAACTTATTAAATGATCCTGTTGATGTTGTATTTTCGATGTCTGTTGGATGTTTATTTTCACTATTCGCCAAACAACGTTCCCTGCGTCTTGCTCATCTAATCTATTTACACATATATAAGTTTCCAAAACTGTTCTTTAGTGAACCTGATAACAATCATACTACTATCGATTATAATCATAATTTATCAAACAAAAATTTGTTACAACAAGAATTTCAGAAATTCATTCAAGATAATCACGGTTTGTTAGCTTCAGACTATCTTCGAAATGAATATGAATTTATATCAAATTTCTTAGATATACTATCTCAATCAACTGATCTATTATATCAAGTACAGAAATTACAACTTGTGTATACATCAGCTGCCGCTACAGCACAAATAAGACAAGTCGAAGCCGAACAACGACTAAAAACGTTTAGTAACACTAATAATTTGGATCCCTGTTCTGTCTCCTCTCCTACCTCCTCGCCGTCTTCATCTATATCACATGCTGTAAGTGTTGAGGGTAAACATGGTGTGTTAGTACGTGCTACTTCAACAAATCATCCAAATATGACAGAAGCAAAAGAGATCATTTCTAAAACACCTCGAAAAACAGATATTCATCATAGAACTAACATTTTACCCAACTATATTTCACGTTATCAGGATGCGTTGCATCGTTCTAGCACATTAGATCGGTATGTGGCTACTGGATCAGCTGTTTCACCTTATTCATCAATCAGTAATCATACACTTGGTACTGATTTTACTAAATTACAATCGGACAATCAAACAAAACCAGACGATCATAATTACAAAAAAGACAAGAATGATTCGACTATTTATACTGCAACTGAAAGTAGTAGTATCACTGATGATAAGGAAAAGGAACGAAGTAAACCTAGAGTTAATTCTAAAAAAGGTGTACAGTGGAGTGATCATCGTGAAGTTAGTACACGACATCAAATTATAGGACGGTATTTGGAGATGACATGGAAGTATTCAGAGAATACGCTAACAAGCTTATTCCTATCCACATCAAGCACGATTATTAAACAGAGGGACGGTAACGGTAATAATATAACTGTAAATGAACCTAAATTGTGCAAATCTACTTTAACTATGCCATCAGTGGAACTTTTAAGATTGGGAAATAATATTTGTCAATTGACGATCACATCAGGTAACTTTCAAATGATTTCGGTTAATCAATTACTTTTACTACTATTATTACTACTACTAATTTTATGTTATTCGTAACCATATAGAACCTTAGATAAGATTTAATAGTGAACTAATATTTCATTACTATTATGTAATAATTTCTTTAATTCACCTAAAATCATTCTTGTGGATTCGTTTCAACAAACACGTTCTTCATACTGACTGACAGAAAATAGAAATTATGTGCGGTTGTTAACAGTAATATGTCCTGATAAATCACCAAATTTGAAGTAATGTTATTATAACAAATAAATCAATATTTGCTTAACTTGATTTAATCAAAATTGACCAGATAATAAGGAGTTCAATAATGTTGGATTTGAAACAGTTCTCTATCAAAGACATTTAAAGATGGTTGATCAGTGTTACGAATCGATCCCAGTTAGAAATGTAAGCCTTTACTTACCTAGACAGTGGTTTTAGAGGTTAAGCGCTTATTGCGAGACTTGAAGATCCTGGGTTGGATTCTTGGTGAGGTTGCGAATACCCAGAGCTGAGGAGTCTTGTCCAAGGACTAAACAACTGTCTGGTAATTCCTAGTTTTCAACAGTTTTCTGGCCAAGACCACTATGTGATAAAAAATTTAACAAAGATTTATTATTCATTTTGATTTTGAGTACAGCTTCCTTTCATAACACGACACCATGTCATACGCCGATTGCCTGTCCGCTTTTTCCAACCCGTCTCAGAGTTGGCAAATAATGCACGATGTGGAACTCGCTAAGACGACATTCGTAGGACATGTCCAAGCCACCGAGGTCAGTGTCTCAAGATAGTGACACCAATTGATTTGTCGTCGCTGTGCCCAAACACGCGATGACGAACCTTTGAATTACAAAAACGGTGTTACCACTGGATGTCAGAAACAACGATGATCAAACACAGAGTCGTCTAACATCAACTTGGAGAGGCCAGGTTTCACAAGCATAGAGCACAACTGCTCGCGTTGTAGATCCGACATTTTACAGCCAGACTAACATAACGAAAGCGCCAAAGATAGCCCAGATTGGTACAAGCCGCACAGAATTCAGCCGGAAAACTAGAAATGCTTAGACACTGTTACGGATTTGATTGAATATCAGCTGTTTTAATGAAAACATCATTTTTAGGATTAGTTAGCTAAATAAACAAAGATTTATATTTTATACATTCAGTAGTGGTTCACTTTCGCAATGCCTATTCGTGTTTCGTTTCATCTAATAAATTTTAGGCATTTAGTTACTATGATTAATCTGTAACACTAATTTTTTTAAAGTTTGGTCTGTAAACTGATACATGCCTTCTCAGTTAAATATCTAATGTTAATTGTCTAAAGAATTCTTCAAATTTATCGATAATGACAATAGTGTTAAAGAGGAAATGTTATAAACGATTATTACATTCTTCAACCATTTAGTAATGAAAACGATTGTCTGTATATTCTTTCTTCATTCATTTTCATGTATCAAGTTGTGTGAAGTAGTATTGTATTAATAAAGTTGATTAGTTTCTGTCTTAAGTAATGTTAATCCTACACTTAGTAACTTAATAATTAACATTAAGTACATTAAAAAACAATAAATTCACGGTTTTATCACTTATACATTTAGACAAAATTGAATTCATGTAACTTTTTATTACAGAATAAACATACTTCACGTTTAACACAAAACAATCATCATTACAACCTGTGAACAAAAATTGTTTTATTTTTTAAGATTTATTTAAGAGAATGTCTCTCCGAACTAAGCTTAGATACGTATAAAAAACTTTAATTCCACTGAATGTAATCTATTAAATTTTGTTAAGTTAGATAGTTCTGTCGAGGTTTTATATAAGTTAGAAATAACTTTCTATGCAATCTAATATTAAGCGGTTAATCACTGAAATACAGAATAGTGTGGACAATTGTTTTTATTGTAGATTCGGATAGCTTATTGCTTTCAAAACTATTTATTAACTTTTCATCTGTCAGTTAACTTTAAGATACAGGCTATTTTCTTTTATATTGACTTAAAATAAACGCTTTCAAGGAGGAAATATAGTTTAATAGAAGGCATTTAAATTTAACATCTTAATTTAGATATTACGTCTTAACTCAGTAATTAACTTTAAGTAATTATTTCTGTTGTAAGATGGTTTTATTACAGATTAGTATACAAAATCTATTTAATTAGTCAAGTATTTTCATGTGCTAAGGGCACAGTAGAATATTTTTGTCGTACAGATTAGATGAATCATCTGTTAACTATGAGAATGCAACTAAAAATGCGAAACAAAAGTAAACAATAACACTTTCTTGTTAACTAAAGCAAACACGGGTTTTGATATATTTGGATTGAGTGTAAGAGTTGAATTTAGAACACTCGTTTTGTTCTGTTTGTGGCTCTTCGAATGGACGTATCTTAATCCTACTACTAGTAGTAGGGATCCAAAAATATTGAAATTTGCAACAGAAAGGCTATATCAAGTCAGGCAACACAAACGACATATATACCAAAAAAATGACCAATAAGTAGCCTTGAATATTAGTGAGAGGATAAGATGTACCATTCAAATTTAATCAGCGTTAATACTGTGATGAAAATTTTCCAAGAGTCAAAACTAAACAACTTCATTGTCTCACGTTTTCGGTCTTTTCCAAATTAATTGAAGCCTTATCGAACAACAGTGAATTTTACTTTAATATATCCTGGTTATATTACACGTGTTAATTCTTAGAGAAACTAGCGGTTTGATGATTCGAGACAGTATTAAAGTATTATTAATCGATTAAACATAGAAAAGACTAACGTAGTGAATGTTTAACTTTCCTTTTCAAAAATGTTTTTTAAAGAAAACTGTATTTCGATTTTAAGTGATGAATCACTTACTGTAGATTGTTTATTTCCCAGAAATTTTCATACATGTCTGTATTTCTATAAGCGTTTTTTGTTTTTGTTTTTTTGTGACGGAGAGTGATATGGATGTTAGATAGACAGTTGAGTATTGGTAAAATAAACGAATTCATATTACATTTAGTTTTAATTTTCAAAAGCTTGCAACAGAATGATTTAAGATAGGCAAACAAGGGAACAATCAAAAAGGTATTTCTGATCACAGTCCACCTGAATATATCTTGTAGTTTAAAGAATGACGTAACTGAATGAAACATCAAAGAATTATGAATGAAGAAGTTTTAATTTAGCGCTAAAAAAGTCGAATTGTTGAAATATTTGGTTGTTTATTTACAATTGAATATGTGTAAATTAAATTATCTCGGAAACAGATTGGGTTGGTAGAATACAATATTTTGTTGGATTAAAATAAGTCGAGTTACCGATCTTGCTATATGAATACGCAACTCAGTAATTGGTAGATGTAGCACATAAATTTAAATATCTCGGATACTTTTCCTAAAGATTCTTGTGATCTAGATTCACAAGTAAAAAAGACAGAGACTTCAGTGCCAATGCGTATTCACATATTTAGGTCCCGTTAATAGTTTATTGTTCTTAAAATATATTATTTACTACTATTGGTACATTTTCCTCAGTTGTAGAAAGTTCTTTGACTGGATGCTTTTAAACATGAACAGTAATATAATCCCTCATTTAACCACTTGATCAACTTTGTACATTCATCAACTCTCCCATTTAATTCCAAACTGCAGTAACATAAATATGTTTAATATAATCCACAATTCACCTTTCTTCTCCTTTCAATAAGTATCATTTCAATTTTACAGCTAGTAGGGTGTCATATTATAGGGATATTAGGCTGGATAATAATTCAACTTCTGTAAAATGTGAACTTTTGAACTGTATCAAGTGATTCAACAATGAGTGTTACTTTTTTATAAATTTGCTTGATCTGAACTTAGTGCCATAATCATATATCTTTTTATTATAATTATAAGAAGTATCTTTGGGCCAAACCTCGGGATTTTCGTCAGCTTGTTCTGTCGAAAATGAATTTGACTGGCTAATTTTGACGTTTGTGCTGTCACTGTCTGCACATTTATTTTGATTGTCATTCACCTTGACCTAATTCTTGGTTAAAAGTTCATTTGTGATAGTGATTTCAAATTCAGCCTAAAGCCAGAAGTTCAATTCTATCTACTAAATTTCAGAATATAAGAAAGAATCATCATTGACCGACCGTTGAATATAGAAAGTCGTGTGGAAATCAGTTAGCTATGTACAGGTTGTTTTTCTTAGGCGAATATAAAGATTACTAAAAATGATCTTAATAACTCATTCATTGTTTAAAGATTATTGTACTTTGTGATATACAGTCTTTGTTTCAAAGGGACAAATAACTTATCATGGGATGGCAACAATATTAAACTTTTATCCAAATTACATTATATAAGACCATATAGTAATGCTTCAAGTGGAAGTAATTTTTTTTGATTGAGATCATGAACCGATTGATGTTAGACCACCACAATTGAAAACCTGGAAGTACTGGACGGCCGTTTCGTCCTATTGTGGGACTCCTCAGCAGTGCGTATCCACGATCCCGCTCGCGGGATTCGAACCCAGGGACTTCGGTCTCGCGCATGAACGCTTAACCAACTGGACCACTGACCCGGCATCCAATGGTGATAGTTTCTAACATCAACCAATCCACGAAATTGCGCGACCAACTTCCGTTGTACTGAGGTAAATACCTGTCTCTACCCGACAAGGATTAGCTCTACTGGTCACGGCTTCTCACTAGAACTCCGAAAATCCCCTCACGAAGCTAGTCACTAGTGAGCACATGTTGAATACTAGTATAGTGGTTGTGGAGATTTGTTAACTCACATATCTTTTTTCGACAAACGTACTTATCACGTCTCCAAATTTTAGTTTTATTTAAAAATTTAATTAGTACCTGTTTACTGTAGAAATCAATCAATCTAAACTGGGTTATATAGCTCATTATTACCTAATACGACGATGTTGAAATTTACGTAAGTTTTATTTTATGATGATTCTCACAAGACATGATTAT